GAGCACGTGTACAGAGTCTACGTCGCAACCTTCCTTGGCTTTGGAGGAAACGCAGCACGCCAGAGATATGAAGACAGTCTATTTACCAGCACAGTGCTTAAAAACAGGTAGCTGGCTCTAGTTGCTGGGGAAATGTGGGTTCTGTGCATTCACACGGACTGGATGAGCACACGATCTGCTGGATCAAGCACTGGCTGACTGGAAGGTCCCAAAGAGTTGTGCTCAATGGATGTACGTCCAGCTGGCGGCCGGTCACAAGTGGTGTGCCTCAAGGCTCAGTGTTGGGACCATTTTTGTTTAACATTTTTATTGATGATCTCAATAAGGACATAAGGTGTAACATCAGCAAGTTTGCAGATGACACCAAGTTAAGCAGGAGTGTTGACTCCCAGGAGGACAGGGAAGCTTTGCAAGAGGATCTAGATAGATTGGATCACTGGGCCAATGCCAATGGAATGAGTTTCAACAAGGGCAAGTGCCAGGTCCTGCACTTGGGCCACAACAACCCCCTGCAGCGCTACAGGCTGGGGGAAGTGTGGCTGGGGCTGCCTGGAGGAAAGAGAGCTGGGGGGCATTGGAAGAGGCTGCCCAGGGAGGGGGTGGAGTCCCCATCCCTGGCTGTGTTTAAGGGCCGTTTAGATGCAGTGCTGAGGGACATGGTGTAGGGGAGGACTTTGTAGAGTAGGGGAGATGGTTGGACTCGATGATCCCAAGGGTCTCTTCCAACCTAGACGATTCTATGATTCTATGATTCGCTGTGGTCAGTAAACCTTTAACTTGAATACATTTAGTAAAGCATCGTGATGTAAAACTTAATTTTTAGAGCACGCCTTGTGCGATGCTGAAGCTTCTTGAGACGAGGCTGCTTTGTTTTGATGCTGTTGTATCTCAGAGCTTGATTTCTTTGTTTTTTTTCACTGTGCCTGCTCCTTTGTACAGGCTGCTGGGCAAACAGACTGGCCTGACTTCAGATTCACCCTACCTGGATCCTTGCCTGCCCCTGGATGCTCAGGATGAGATCCAGCAGAACGGACAGACGATGTATTTGCGGGGAACAGGAGACTTTAACCTGTGTCGGGAAATTATTCAGCCATTCATGAATAAGACTAATGAAACACAGACGTCTCTAAATGGTGTCTACCAGCCTGCTGTGCACTTTCAGAACAGTGATGATTTTTAGAGTTTTTTTTCACTGTGCCTGCTCCTTTATATAGGTTGCTGGGCAAACAGACTGGCCTGACTTCAGATTCACCCTACCTGGATCCTTGCCTGCCCCTGGATGCTCAGGACGAGATCCAGCAGAACGGACAGACGATGTATTTGCGGGGAACAGGAGACTTTAACCTGTGTCGGGAAATTATTCAGCCATTCATGAATAAGACTAATGAAACACAGACGTCTCTAAATGGTGTCTACCAGCCTGCTGTGCACTTTCAGAACAGTGAATTCTACGGTTTCTCCGAGTTTTACTACTGCACCGAGGACGTGTTACGTATGGGAGGAGATTATAATGCTGCTAAATTTATTAAAGCCGCAAAGGTAAAGTGTTCTTGAGAGAAACTGTTTCTAATTCAAAACAGCTACTCTGCAGAAACATTATTTTTTGAAAGTCTTGCAATAAAACTCCTCCCTTAAGGATCCAAAATCCTTTTACCCTGCAATGAACTATCACGGGGCATCTCTTTTCCTCACTGGATTTTCTTTTTGAATATTTGTTTTAAAGCACAATATTAAAATACTAGTCAAGTTCCAGCAGAACTACTGATAATGAAAATCCATGCTGCTTCCATCCCTTGCTTCTTTTAGCAATGTCTTTGTTGTTAGAAAAAGAACTCCTTTTCTTCTTGCTTTATCCCAGTTTCTTGGGTGTGTTTCTCCTAACAGGGATCAGTCTGAAGACAATTTAAAGTAAGGCTACAACATAAAGCAGAGGAATATGACCTGCTTTGTCAATGCCCTAAAAATAGGGTGTCTGTTTTTCCATCACCAAAGAGTTTAACTGCTACTGAATGCTAATTTAACCACAAATGCCAAGTGTGGAACAAAATCTTCCAGAAAATACCATGAAATGTGTGATCTGACTTATTAGCAGTGCCAGGGAAGCTGTTATTTTTGAGTTTTCTAGCTTTTGCTGTTAACAAAGCATCTGATCTAGTGACATTTTTTGCCTCTGAAGGCAGAAACCATGTTGAAAATTCAAAACAGCTACTCTGCAGAAACATTATTTTTTGAAAGTCTTGCAATAAAACTCCTCCCTTAAGGATCCAAAATCCTTTTACCCTGCAATGAACTATCACGGGGCATCTCTTTTCCTCACTGGATTTTCTTTTTGAATATTTGTTTTAAAGCACAATATTAAAATACTAGTCAAGTTCCAGCAGAACTACTGATAATGAAAATCCATGCTGCTTCCATCCCTTGCTTCTTTTAGCAATGTCTTTGTTGTTAGAAAAAGAACTCCTTTTCTTCTTGCTTTATCCCAGTTTCTTGGGTGTGTTTCTCCTAACAGGGATCAGTCTGAAGACAATTTAAAGTAAGGCTACAACATAAAGCAGAGGAATATGACCTGCTTTGTCAATGCCCTAAAAATAGGGTGTCTGTTTTTCCATCACCAAAGAGTTTAACTGCTACTGAATGCTAATTTAACCACAAATGCCAAGTGTGGAACAAAATCTTCCAGAAAATACCATGAAATGTGTGATCTGACTTATTAGCAGTGCCAGGGAAGCTGTTATTTTTGAGTTTTCTAGCTTTTGCTGTTAACAAAGCATCTGATCTAGTGACATTTTTTGCCTCTGAAGGCAGAAACCATGTTGAAGTCTGTCTTTTTTTGTTCTTTTCTTGCAGGATTATTGTGCCACTAAGTGGTCTGTCCTGCGGGAACGTTTTGACCGTGGTCTTTATGCGTCACATGCTGATCTCCACAGATTGAAGTAAGTATTTGTATTTGTACAGCAAATCCATTCATGCAGAGTCGCCAGGGAGAGGTCATGTCCAAACGATCCACTTAATTTAATCAGTGGAAGTGTGAATATAACCTTAAATATTGCATCAGCCGTAAAAAAAGGGGCTGATAATTATGTGTCTAAATGTGTTCCCCTGGGACTCTGTAAGTGCTGGCCTGACTTTATGTCACTCTTTCTATAGGTACCAGTGTTTTAAGTCTGCCTGGATGTATGAAGTATTTCACAGTGGCTTCTCTTTTCCTGAGAGCTACAGCAATTTGAAAACAGCTCTGCAGGTTTATGACAAAGAGGTTCAATGGACCTTGGGAGCCATTCTTTACCGAACACGGTTTTTACCTTTAAGGTACGAGTTGTTTTCTCAAATGGGTGGAAGGGTTTATGAAGGGAAGAAGGACAGTGATAGCAAAGCAGCTGGCAGATAGGGGGAGACAAGATATTGTTTCTAGTGGATTATATATTGTATATTCTATTGCATATATGTAGTCTAGTGCATTTTATATATATATATATTTGTCCAGAGAAGCTGGGGCTGCCCCATCCCTGGAAGGGTTCAAGGCCAGGTTGGAGGGGGCTTGGAGCAACCTGGTCTAGTGGGAGGTGTCCCTGCCCAGGGCAGGAGGATTGGAACTCCATGATCTTTAAGGTCCCTTCCCACCCAAACCATTCTATGATTCTATGTATAACCTCAGTACATATTTCAGATAATGCTTTATAAAAACTATTCTGCTAAAATGGTCTCCGTTTCCTGTGATAACGGCAGTTTAGCTCGGAGGCAAAGTTTGATTTCATGTCTTTTATCCCTTTGATTCTTTTCAGAGACATCCAGCAAGAAAACTTCCGTGGAAGTCACTCCCACTGGAGGAGCTTCTCCTTCGTTTACAATCACTATTTGTTTTTTGTCTGTTTTCTGATCGTGCTGCTCTCCATCCTGCTTTACCTGCTCAGGCTCCGGCGGATCCACAGGCGAATGCTGCGTAACAGCTCCTCTACTTCCCTCTGGATCGAGGAAGGCCTCCCACCACAGAAGATGGCAGGACCCTTATGAGATGCTGTGATGGAGACATTTTGTTGGACTCGCTACTCAAAAAGCCATTTTTGCCTCAGGGTTCCTCCTTTTTCTCCCTTTAAATCATTGAAGAAGCAGATTGCCTAGAGCGCGTCATACAGCTGGGCTTTGGAATCATGGGAAAATGGGGTCAACTTGGCTTAGTCTCATTAGACAATATCTGCCAAAAAGTACTTTATTATTTTTTTTTTTAAATATTGCACTTTTGTGTGTAATGGGACGAGCGAAGACTCGTCAGTAAATGAGCAGCAGCAGCTTAAACTATGTATGGTAAGAGAATGAGTGTGAATGCTCATCCTTTTGGGTGAGATCGTGAAATCCCCTTCACTAGGATGAATGAGGACTGTTTTTATTTTCTTTTCCAGATTCCAGGATTGATATCACTTGAATTCTCAATTCTCAGTCTCCTCAGTCAAAGAAAAGGAAGTGCAGGGTTTTCAAAAGCAGTAAGAAAGCAACCTTTTAGGAGAGAGTTTAATCAGATTTTATATTCTGGGATAAGTACTGTGATGGAGAAGAAAAATCTATTGCACCCAACGCTGTGCTTCCACAAAACTGCTTAAATCAGTTTTGTTTCTTTGTGACAGTTTCCCCATTTGTCTTGGAAGCTCTGTCGTCGTAGTGGCTAAAGTCACTATTTTTAATCCTCTGTTTCATAATCATTCAGAGATCTCCAGTAAAGTGAAGAGAACTGGAACATGCCTCAGCTTCTGTTTCTGCTAGAGTAGCCATGCACAGTGTCTCTTTTTTTGATTTCTGAGTACTCCGATTTAATTTATATTTTATTTAAAGCTGTTAATTTTACTTGAAAGTAAATCTGTCCATGATTAAAAGTGGGATTTATATGAACTTTTTGGTGTGTGGGTACTTTATTGCACAGCAGCTCTTCTGTTCTCACTGTTTGTATCCAACTGGCCAAACTTTCTTCTCTTCTAGTAGGCGAGGATGTGCCGGAAAACTGGATCCCGTTTTCACTATTGGAGAAGTAGGCATGTTGATACCACTTAAGGTGCAGTTTATTCATCTAAAAGACTAATTTGAATTGTTTTATTGCCTCCTATCATTATGCTTGCTTTTGCCTTTGGCTGTTTAAGGAATTGAGGTTTGAAGTGTAGCTAAATTTAGGTGCTAAACTTCCTGCCCCTTCCATCCAGTGACTGGCAGATTGGCATTGCAGTCGTAAGAATTAACTGGATATCAGGTGGAATTTTGAAACAGAATCTTTAAGTGAGTGTTCAGAAAACAGATAAGTTTGGGTTTTTTTGTACCTGACAAATCATAGAATCACAGAATGGTTTGGGTTGGAAGGAACCTTAAAGATCATCCAGTTCCAAACCCTTTCCATGGGCAGGGACACCTCCCACCAGCCCAGGTTGCTCCAAGCCCCCTCCAACCTGCCCTTCAACCCCTCCAGGGATGGGGCAGCCACAGCTTCTCAGGGCAACCTGGGCCAGGCTCTCACCACCCTCAGGGGGAAGAATTTCCTCCCAAAAATCTCATCTCCATCTCCTAATTTTTGGTTTAAAACTGCTCCTTCTCCTCCTAGGGCTCCCCTCCCTCATCCAGAGTCCCTCCCCAGCTTTCCTGGAGCCCCTTGAGGGACTGGAAGGGGCTCCAAGGTCTCCCTGGAGCCTTCTCTTCTCCAGGCTGAACCCCCCCAACTCTCTCAGCCTGTCAAATCCAAGCACTTCACCAGCTGAGAGTCTGGTTTGTGTTTTGCTATTTTTTAAGCACCATCTGAGCGAGTGCTTAGATAAGACACCTCTCGCTTCTGATGCCTGGGACTGCCCTACAAACTTGTTGCACTCGTGAGGCTGATAATTCTTATCAGAAAACTGACACTTCCAATTGTTCCAGAGCCTGTGCTTCCTGTTGCTGAGATGCCTAAAACTGAGTACAGAGCCTTTAATTGCACGTGTAGATAAAGCAGCCCCTTTGGACAAGGGCTGATGTTGGTGGTAAAGTGGAGAGTAAATATCAGTGTGTGGCTTGGCAAAATCCAGGCAGATGCCAGGCATCTCTAGGCAGAAGAGATAGTGTCTCAAATGCAGCAAGGAAAAAAAAAAACCCAACCCAAACCCCACCACACACTAATAAAAACTTAGGAAAATCATAAAGCCATGAAAGAGTTGAAGGAAGACTATTTCAGACCTAAAATAGAATTTCTTTAGATGCTGCAGCATTTTCTTTTTAGTGATGCTCTTAACACTTACCACCAAAAAAAAAAGACTTTAAAATTGACTTTCATAGACTTAGAAGCCTATTTTTACAAATAATGGACAGCTATGGAAAAAAGCCCACCACTATTCTGGCCTAAGCTAAGGTGGAAAACCATTTCTGAGAGGAAAATAATTGTTTAAAGTTTTGTAATATGTCATGGTTGAACCAAATGCAAGATGTCGATGTTGCTTTCTTATCTTGTAGGCTGGACAGAGTATGGCTGAGACAATGAAAAATGTGATTTTTTTGGCCCCCAGAGCATGAGAAGATTTTTTGGGTAGAACAAGCTGCAGCTGGCAAGTTTGGTGAATGCAGTAGGGACAGGTACAGCACTGGGATCATGGGGACAGACTGGTCTTGGGCTTACATAAAGCATTGTGTGCCTGCTTTTGGGTTTCCACACTGGTTTTTGAAAGCACCACGCTGGGGAATGAGGACATGAAGCAGGAGTGTTTGGAATGTGAGGAGGGATAAGATGATGAATGGTGGTGAGAAAGCAATCAGGAAAATGAACGGGCATTTTGAGGGACCAGTGAGTGCTCTGCAGTGCACAACTGTCTCTCTTTGTCTTCTTTTTTTTTTTTCTCCTCCAGCATCCTAGCAGTATTGTTCTGCTTTTTCTAGTAATTTGCTGCAGGAAGGGGCAGAATAAAAGTGACCTAATACGTCATTTCCTCCTGCAATGGTAAAAAGGCACTGCCAGCAGAGAGTGGCTCTGGGAGCAGCTACTGTTCATTGAAAATCGAAGCAGTGCATGAAAAATTAGATTCAGACAAGCGTAAGACCTAGCAACTTAAACAAGCTTTCTTCATTCCTGCAAGATAAAGCACAGAGCCCTATTTTATATGTTTATTTTCCCCTCTAATTCGGGTACAAGGTTGTAAACTGCTTGATAAGGTGCTTCAGAGTGAGGTAGGAAGGTGAACACTACCTTCAGAACTAAAACCATCTATTTTTTGGGCAGATTTTCTGCTGCGTTATATTTTTGCAAAGATTTGAGGAGGAGGGACCTTATTTACTTCCAGGGAGCTGGGAGTTGAGCCCTGTGATCACACACAGGTGTAGGGGACACGGTGAGAGGCAGCTGAGTTAATTAAGTGTCCTAAAGGTGCACAGGAGAGAGCCATCATGCTCGTTAGAAGAAAGAGCCTACAAGGGCTGGGAGAACATAGGGTTGAGGAAGATGGTGCTGTGCTCTCTGGCAACATTTCTGCTTCTCTGAGGTATTCTAGCTTCAAAGTGAAGGGATTTTTTTGGTCCTGTCAGAGAAGGGAGGGGGATTGCTTGTTTCTTTGCAGTGGAACCATGGGGAAGGTGTGGTAGAAGCGTGGTGTGATGCTGTGGAGGGGAGCAAAGCATGCAGAGCTGTTTGTGGTGAGGAATAGAAGTGGGAAACCAAGCCTTAAACTGACTGGTGGCTTTGGGTTGATTTAGCAGTGACTGGGGTAGATCTCTGTCACTTTTGAGTGCTTTGAGAGGAATTTCAGCAGATTCTTGAGCTGTGGGTCTAAAAAGATTGACTGTCCTTGATCTGCACCTTTGGAAAGAGTAGAACACCCATGACTCAGAACCTCTGGGTTTTACTTCTTTCAGGAGCTGGTTTTGATGTTGTAACTGGGATTTGCTTGGGGTTTGGGGTGGATGAGAGCAGAGTTTTGTCCTGGAGAACGTGTATTTTAGAAGAAAAGATATGAAAAGCTGGTTTTGAGTACCAGCCTGACCATCAGGGCAGTGGAGGGCAACAAAATGGTGCTGGGCCTGATTTATATCCATGTGTGCTCAGAAGTGCCTGGAGCACCCTGCAGATCCTCCTGCTCCCATGGGTGGTGTGTCTGTGAGGCCAATGGGATGGGGTAGGGCTGGGGAACAGCCAGCTCCTCGGGGGCACCTCTCTGGGGTGCTCCAAGTGCTGCTGATTAATGGGTAACGAGGCTTTGGGCCCTTCCTGTGAGGGCTTTTTTGTGAGTTGGAGGGCTTTGTGTGAGTTCATTCCATGTCAGTATTTGCTATATCGAGGCTGACAGACGCCTGGGTGCCTTTAATTGCTTTAAGAGCTTAAAGCCCACAAGGCATGGGAAGGAAGCACAGATTTTTCAGAAGCAATCAGCTAAATGCCAAACCTAAATGGCTGGATTTACAAGACTGCTGTGCTTTTCAGGGCTGGAACTATCCTGTGGCAAGTGTTTGTACATTCAGCTCTTTGCTTTGAAGATCTGGCTGTAGTGTCCTGTTAATTAGAATGACAGTATGTGTGTTTGTGGTGAGTTTTTTTGGGTGGGCTTTTTTTTCCCCTCCCTTCCCTTCATAGAGATTTGCAGGACAGGGCAGGGGCTATGGAAGAGGAGGAAGTTTGTGACATCTCCTGAGGGAAGGCTAAAACCATATTATTCTTGCAGATCTTTTTGCAACTGGAGATGAAGGGAGGGGGAAAAAAGAAAGGAAACCTTTTCATCCCACCCCTGGACAAGCCTTCTTCAAAGAGACTGCACTAAGCAACAACACCAGGGGAAACCTGACTCCTTTAAACCTGTTTTCACTCAGTGCCTGTTCCTGCACTTGGATTCCCAAGTCACAATGGTAATGTTTTTCTGTTTGTGTCTGTTTCTGCAGTAACATGCTTTATTTTTCTTTCTTGGGCTTCTCCTGTTCACCTTGTCCTTTCTCCAGGTCCATTAAGGCCAGGTAAGGCATGCAGAAAAGCACAGAGGGGAGGAGAGGGCACTGCTCTTTGACCTGTCCTGGTGACCTGGAATGGACAGGAGAATGATACTGAAGCTTTTGGCTTCACGGCCTCTTAAACGTATCACTCTTCTTTTTGTCCTTGTGTTTTTGTGTGTGGAAAAGGTCCAAAACGTGGCCCCTAATGGAAGAAGTAGTTGGGGAGACAAAAGCATAGCCATGAGAAAGGCAGGGTGTGATGGAGAGGATGGGGAAGAGCTGAAGCTCCTCCAGGAGCACCAGCCCTACAGAGGCAACCCTGGAGCTTGTGGAAACAAAAGGGTTTTCTGTCCCTGTGGCACTTAGCAAAGGGGACAGTCAATAGCAGTGACTTGATGCCATGCCTGATCCGGGGCACCTTGTTCTTTCTTGTCCCATTGTTTCTGCCATTGTTGCTACTAAATAACGCATGAAACTCATTGAAAGGCAAAATGAGCCTGGTGAGGACTTGCTGTGTCCTTCTCCCTGGGCACCAGCCTCTGTGTGTGGAGTGTTCAGGGGACCTGGTCCTCCCAGTTGTTTTTTCAGGTCACCCTCCTTTTGTTTAAAGAACAGGAGGACGACAATGACTTTCTCACCTGCTTGTGCTTGAAGGTCTTTAGGTTGGGGGGAAGTGGTGCTGGGGAATTGCTTGGGACTGGGTTAGCTGTGTCTTCCTAGATGAGAGTGGTTTGTGTTGTTGGAGATACTTTTTTTAGAGCCCTGATCTTCAAAAGGGAGGGCTCAGCACTCTTGTGCCAGACAACACAAATGCACTGAGGGGACAAAGTGGAACAGGTTGCCCAGAGAAGTTGTGGCTGCCCCATTTCTAGAAGGATTCAAGGCCAGGTTGGAGGGGGCTTGGAGCAACCTGGGCTGGTGGGAGGTGTCCCTAGGACTGGAACTAGATGATCTTTAAAGTCCCTTACAACCCAGACCATTCTGTGATTCTATAATATCCAGATTTTCCTGAACTCCAAATGCTTTCCAGGGTTCTGGAAGTTACTAGCTCTACATTCCCTGCCACAAATAATGTGCAGGGCAGGATTTGAATTCACAGGTTGCAGACGTTTTCTGTTCCTAGGTCTTATGTGCATGGCACTTTACCAGCATTTCTCTCTTGCTGATAACTCCAGTGGTGACTTGCAAACAAGATTCTAACAGTGCCAGGTTTTTTTACCCATTAGGTGGGCTCTCTAGGTTGCCATGGCCAAATTTTGGCAGTAATCAACAGTGCTAGGTTTTTTTTACCCATTAGGTGGGCTCTTTAGGTTGCCATGGCCAAATTTTGGCAGTAATTTCAGCCTGCCAGGAAAGCTGAGGGTCTTTAGCTCCTTGGGGAAACTCTTAAAGACATTACCTGCCAGGAAAGCTGAGGGTCTTTAGCTCCTTGCTGATCACGTAGACATGAAGGTGGAACCAGATGCAAGGTGTGAAAAGCATCTCCTACGTAGCAGCCCACGTCCCCTTCTGCAGCCCATGTCCTGCCCCTGCGTGAGCCCTCTTGGAAATTCAGCAACTGAAGTCTCTGTTCTTGAACTAATTGTTCAAGTTTCTGCATAAGAACAGAGCCACTGGCAGAGACTGTCCTTGTTAGGACATGTTCTTTGGCCTGTCACAGTGAATCAGCACAAAAGATGTTAAAACAGCTGTTTCCATAACGCCTTTTAAGGATGAGGAGGGATTTGCTGCATTTGCCTGGGCATAATGGAGACCAGCACACTGTGTTCTTGATTCTGTTCTCTTCCTTCCCTCTTCTCCCTTTCTCTTGCACAAAGCTTTTCCGTCACAGCAAAATAAATCCTGGATGGGAAGCCAGTTCTGTCTGCTCAGTGCTCTTCAGGGCCAGAAGTCCTTTCTCTCCTGACCCCTGGATGCAAAATCTGGGCTTGCAGAGGCTCTGCTGTTCAGAGGGGGACTCTTGCCATCTAGTGGGAGGGGATGGTAACCTCCAGGACCTCTGCCATCCCTCAGGTCAAGAAGATAAAATGCAACCCTTCTCCCCTTTTAATGAGTAATTTCACTGCCCGTGTAGGATTAGCTCCTGCTGCTTTCCCCCAGCATCACCACTGCCTCGAACTGGTGAAGCTGGATTTCTCAAACCCTCTTCCTTTCTAGAAGTCTCCCTCTTTTCACATATATATATATATTTTTTTTTTTAGGGGCAAAGCTCTGTTCACACCCTTCTGGGCTTATCTCTTGGGTGGCTGAGTTGCACAGAGGGAATCTGTCAGGAGCCTGTGTGTATGGGGAGGGCTGTCGGTGTGTGCTGGCCAGATACCGCGTGTCACCTGCGTTTTGTCAAGAGATTGCTTGGGGGGAAGTTGCCTTTCAACAGCTGACTCCTCGAATCAGCCCTCAAAGACAGCCAGGATCTTCCAAGTAATTGCTCTTAACAGATAGAGAATGAAAAGCACTTGCAAAGTGCCTTGTGTGGGACTATTCCATAGCGTAGGGAAGCCAGAAGCTCACATTCCAGTTGGGAGATTTCGGTACTAACCGGCCTCCCCCCATCCCTTTCTTGAAAGGTTAAGGAGAGAAATGGAAGGGAGATTTATGTGCTTGCTCTGTGTATGTGCTGCTCTGTTCACACTGCCTGGGACTGAGAAGGAACAGCTTCTGTCATGTACAAGAACAGACATTTCTGAGCCCCTGGGCCTGCTGCAGAAACAGATCTGATATATTTCACAGGGCTCCAGGTTTTCACCCACCTTGGGTGTACGAGCCTCTTGTTTGCTCGGAGATAGGGTCAGTTAATGGGTGTTGAAGGTGTTTTGCTCTCAAGGAGAGGCTGAGGGAGCTGGGGGTGTTCAGCCTGGAGAAAAGGGGGTTGAGGGGAGACCTTCTTGCTCTCTCCAACTCCCTGAAAGGAGGGTGTAGCCAGGGGGGGGCGGTCTTTTCTCCCAAGGAACAGGTGATGGGACAAGAGGAGATGGCCTCAAATTGCACCAGGGGAGGTTTAAGATGGGTATTAGGAAAAATTTTTACCCTGAAAGGGTTCTTAAGCCTTGGAATGGGCTGCCCAGGGAAGTGGTTGAGGCCCCATCCCTGGAGGGATTTAAAAGGGGAAAAATACGGTGCAAATTGACTGACTTGCTCTTGGGCTTCAAAAACCATTGTCAGGGTTGATGGTTGGACTCGATGACCTTAAAGGTCCCTTCCCACTTAGACAATTCTAAGGTTCTATGTCTTTTCCACTAACTGGTGGGACTGGGCTGTCCTTGCTGGTCATTTTACAGAAGGGAAAAATACGGTGCAAATTGACTGACTTGCTCTTGGGCTTCAAAAACCATTGTCAGGGTTGATGGTTGGACTCGATGACCTTAAAGGTCCCTTCCAACCCAGACAATTCTATGATTCTATCAAACTGAGGGCTGGAAGGGTCTGTTGCAGATCTCATACGAGGCTGATCTGCGCTTCTGTTCAGGTTGGGCCATTTGTGAAGAGTCAGAGATCTCATTTTGGAATGTTTTTGTAGAGCATCGAGCCTTAGTAGCACTGGGCCTCAGTGGGTTAATGTGAACAGCAGGACTGCGAAGTGATGAGGCTGCAGATCTGAGGGGGTGACTCTGCAAAGCATGGAAAATCAAGTGGGTGATGGAAAGTAAGCGTGATGTAGTCACTGTCTGCACTGCATTGAGCATTAGATGAGAACACATGCAGGGGAGGAGAAAGAGAAGTCTCAAATGATTGAAGTTATTGCTTCCAGAAGATGAATCTCATTTTTCCAGCTTTGCTGGCGACAGAAGAGCTGTGTCAAGCAAGGATTCCTCCCTGAATTGAAGCAATGCAAGTTTACAGCCCTTTCAACAGCAACTAACGGCACCCAAATAGCAGGGATGGGAGTCTGGGAGGTCAGTTCAGTCACTACCACACTCCTCATGGAAATTGTAAAAATTCCAGTAGCAATTAAATGTATCCTATAAATTAGTTTATGCTTTTTTTGGAGGGATGCATGGACCTACTTCTCCAGGATCGCTGGTGTTTGCTAGCCATCCTGTGAGCTCAAAAGCAGGGCTATAGCTCTCCAATTACACCTTGCAGGCACTTTGCACTGGGGCCAATTGGTTTGAAAATTGCCACGTGTCATTAACGCTCCGACAGAGCGGTCGGGTCCTTCGGTTCTTTAGGTCTAATCGCCTGGATCATCTCTGTGCAGAGCAACCTCTCCGGAGCTTAGCGTATCTGCTCCGTGGATTGCAAAGGTTAAGTTGACCTGCGGCTCCAGAGAGTCTACAAGGTTGAAACCACAAGGTTTGGGGAGGCAATGAGCCTTCCCTTCTTTTAAAAGAACTGAAAATTGGAGACAAGAGATTATAGAACCTAATGGCGCGTGCCTAATTTTGGGGAGCATGGACCATGACTGTGACTTGCTTGGTCAAAACCCGTCTTGACTTGTCCGTCTGGCAAGGTGTGTCCTTCAGGCAGATGCAGAAGAAAACATGTAGGCAAGGGATGTGGACCTGAAAAGTTGGCTGTGTGTATGGCCAAGAGACCAGCTGTAGCTGGTACTTGTATGAGTGTTTTGCATTAAAATATCTATTATTTATGGAGACACCGAGTGCAGAACATCAATGTCTGCTGTTAGCTATGGTATTGCTGCCCACAAAGGTGCATCTTTGTCCCTTCATTGGGAGAAGCTGAAAGAAGCTTTCAGCCTGGAGAAGAGGAGGCTGAGGGGAGACCTTATTGCTCTCTCCAACTCCCTGAAAGGAGGGTGTAGAGAGGTGGGGGTCGGTCTCTTTTCTCAAGTCACAGGCGACAGGACAAGAGGAAATGGCCTCAAGTTGCCCCAGGGGAGGTTCAGGCTGGGTATTAGGAACAATTTTTTCACTGAAAGGGTTCTCAGCCCTTGGAATGGGCTGCCCAGGGAGGTGGTTGAGGCCCCATCCCTGGAGGTGTTCAAAAGCCGGGTTGATGTAGTGCTGGGAGGTCTGGTTTAGTGATGATGCTCCTTGTTTGTTGTGTGGGTGTCTATTTTTGTCAGTTAGGCTGACGGTTGGACAAGATGATCTTTAAGGTCCCTTCCAACCTAGAAGATTCTGTGATTCTGTGAAGAGGAGAAGATCTGGGGTGGTGGAGCTGTACTTCCCTCCTCAGGATGGCAAATTGTTTCCCTAGTTTCCTGTCTACGTGATCAGATGATGCAGATCTAGTTCATGCAGCATTTTTTTCCTGTAGCCTATTAATTTTTGAGAGGTTTTCTAATATATTTTTTTTCCTAGGTGCTCTTCTTTTTGACTTAACCAGCTTCAATATGAAGGGGGCAGCAAATTCCCTGAATCCAGTGCGTTACCTTGAAGAGCTTTGCTGAATTCCTCCTGATTTTTAGTGGGTTTTTTTGGTTTTTTTTTTGCTTTATGCAACCAGCAAGCTCTTCCATCAGCTGGAAGCCTGCATGGCATTTGCTGCTTGTATCCTTACCCGACCCTGGCACTGGGCAAGCATTCCTCCAGCAGGCTGTCATGTTTCTCCATGCCCCGATCAGCAGACGCTCACACATTCCTTCTTCTGGCCAAACTGCCTTCAGCTTCCTGCCAGTCTCAAATAGCTCCTGCTCCTCCTCTGAGCTTCTGCTGGGACATGTTTTTTCCCCTGATGGTCCCGAAACTCAGGGCTTGCCCCACCAGGTGGTGCTCTGCTGATAGCCATGATGCTAATTGGGATTTTGCAGAATGTCACCTCTTTCATGAGCATTCTGGCTACAGGAAGAATTAGTGTGGACTAATTATCCAGAATTGTGGACTAGCAGCTCCTTACCATGCCTGGGAAGAAGAGCCAAGTTCCATTTCAGTGGCAACCTGGGATTAAGTCCTAACATCTTGATATTCTCTGTAGTGATGATGCTCCTTGTTTGTTGTGTGGGTGTCTATTTTTGTCAGTTGGGTTGACGGTTGGACAAGATGATCTTTAAGGTCCCTTCCAACCTAGAAGATTCTGTGTGATTCTGTATCACACCAAGAAACAACTGTCTTCTTTCTATTTTATTTTTTTTTTCCTCCTTTAACACCACAATCAGTGCTGAGGTGCTGCCCTGCAGGAGGCTTTGCCAACTCATGGGAGTGGGGTTGTCATCACTCTACCAGTATTCCCAGCTTTGGGTGGGCATCATCTCAAAGCCAGCTGTGCCAGTAACGGGGCCATTCTTGTGTTCAATTCTGGATGAAACCACTTCATGTAGAGCCTGTGAGACAGAGAGCAAGAGAGATTACAGTCTTGCAGTCTCTTGTCAGCAAGGTTGAGCTGCTCTGTTGTGGTCAGTTCATTCAGCAAAGAGCTAAAAATTGCTTAAATTATTCAGGGCTGCGTTACCCTTCCACACTCGCTCCCTTTCTGTTTCCAGCATGTTGCAGTTTCCTCTAATCATAGAATCACAGAATGGTTTCTTGTTGTCAGTTCATTTGGCAAAGAGCTAAAACCTTGCTTAAATTATTCAGGGCTGCATTACCCTTCCACACTCACTCCCTTCTCTTTCCAGCATGTTGAAGTTTCCTCTAGTCATACAATCACAGAATGGTTTGGGTTGGAAGGGAGACCTTAAAGATCATCACGTCCCTGGGCAGGGACACCTCCCACCAGCCCAGGTTGCTCCAAGCCCCCAATCCCCATTCCATGGGCAGGGACACCTCCCACCAGCCCAGGTTGCTCCAAGCCCCCTCCAACCTGCCCTTGAACCCCTCCAGGGATGGGGCAGCCACAGCTTCTCTGGGCAACCTGGGCCAGGCTCTCACCACCCTCACACCAAAGAGGTTCTTCCCCACATCTCAGCTCCATCTCCCCTCTTTCAGGGTCAAACCCTTTCCCCTTGTCCTAGGGCTCCCCTCCTTGATCCAGAGTCCCTCCCCATCTCTCCTGGAGCCCCTTGAGGGACTGGAAGGGGCTCCAAGGTCTCCCCGGAGCCTTCTCTTCTCCAGGCTGAACCCCCCAACTCTCTCATCCCCCCCTCCCAGCAGAGGGGCTCCAGCCCTCCCGGCATCTCCATGGCCCTAATGTTGGTGCCCAGTTTGGTGCAATATCCCTTTCCAGTTAAAAGTGGCACAGGAGGGTGGGGAAGCTCAGCAGGTCAGTGCCAGGACCCCTGGCACTAAGGACAAACACTTCTTTTCCTGTGGTTGGGGGTGAGAAAATGGAATTGTGCTCCCAGCAGGGCACAGGCAGCCTTGGTGGGGGTGAACTTGGGTCTAGAAAGTGATGAAAAGGTTGGGAAAAGGGAGAAATCTGATGACAGATGTGTTCTTGTGGTTGCTGGAAACGTATCCAGAGATGTGGATTAAGCACTTGAGCTTTTCAAACTCATTAATAAGAATTAATTTGGGAATCGGTGTGAAACCAGGCAGGACTAACCTGGAAAAGTATTCTGTTAGTGGCTGTCCTGTGCTGGGGAAGGGCTTGCTGGAAAGCCCTTTATAAATACAAATATACTGGAAAAAAAATGGGGATATTCCTTCAAAAGTTTGCCTTTGGGAATACCTGATGTTTTTTCCGTGCCTATAAACTTTCCGCTGACATGTGTGAATTAAAGAAAACATTGAGCATAGATTTAAATACTCCAGGTCAAAGCTGGTGAGAAAATATATTGAATTCTTGGGGAAATGCTGACCCTTCGGAATGTCTTGCTGTCTGAAATGGGGTCAGAAGACAGAATTTCAAGGTGACTCATAATAGAGATTTGCAGGACGCCGTTTTCTTGTTATTTTCATGATTACATGGAAAAAAAATAATAGAATAGAATTGTTTTGATGCATTAAAAGCCTAAATAGAAAAAAAACAAAGGACAGTTTTAAAAACATAAATCCCCCCCTCTAGTTGAAGTGATTGCAGAAGTTTACAGTTGCCTCAGAATAATGTCTAATTGGTTTAGTTAGTTCTTGTTGATAGAAGAACTGTTTTAATTAGCTCCAAGCACGATGCTGCTTCACTGCTGCTCTTCACGCCACAGATGCTCTGAATTTTGGCTTGATTTTGGATTGGTCTGGGCTTTTTTTTTCATGAAGAATTGTTTTTATTATCCGTTTAGTGCTCGGGACGTCAAGGAGTAACTCGTGCTGTGGATCTTAGGATGGTTTTTAAATATGTGCCTTGGTTGGAGCCGCTGCATTTTGGAGCTTTAAGGACATTCGAGGAGCTGGAAAAGGGGTTGCTGGATGCTGAAGGGTTAAGGTGGGTGATACCCGAATAACTGGGGAGATATTGGGCTGCAGACTCTCTAACTTATATGGAGGGGTGTATTTTAAAGATGCTGTGCTGTGAGACCCTGCTCTCCTCCCTGTCTGGAGAGGGCTGAGCCTGGGGAAGCTCTGAATCAAACTGGGGGGGTTTAAAAACCCCTCTCATCCCACCGATGCCATTCCCAATACGTGTTCTCTAGGAACATCCTGAGAAAAGCATTTTTCTTCCAAATCCGCCTCCTTCCCCACAACTCGGGCTGGATTTCTTGTGTCCCCCCCCCTCTCCCACCCCCATTTCTTCTCTCTTTGCAGCCCTTCTGCTCGGATTACAAGACAAGCCCATGATATCACCCTGAGCTGAGGCTGAAGGGGCTGGGTCTGGGGAGGGGTTTGCTTGCCTAAGTCTAGTGAAATTTGCCAGCCAGCAGCAGCTCCTCGCAGCAGTTATTTCTCTGCCTGCAGGATACTTTTTCCAGCGCAGAGGGGGACAGCTCAGCCCAGAAGAAAGAACTTCATGAAGCACGACAAGGCAGAGGTCCCCTGCAGCACAGCCTACCACTAACTCCATCCAAGGTAAACGCCAGCTCGCCCGGGCTACGAGCCACAAAGAGTGGCTTTATTGCTAGAGATGAAGGGGCTGATTAATTAGTTTAAACATTTCTAACCCTCTCCTGCTTCGGGGCTGAGTTCTCTTCTTGCCTTCTCTCTTTGAAGGGATTTTCTTTCTCTCCCATCACTTTTGTTATAACAAAGTATGATGTTTGGACATAACGGGCTGGGGGGAAGGAGGCAGAGGTTTCTTCTAATCCCTGTCCCCTGAGACTTGGATTTGGCAGGAGTGGGATATTCAGTGTCACTTTGCAAATACGTTGTGACCAAGTTAAAGGCTTTCTCCCCCTTCCTTGCTCCCAGGCGCGCAGAGATGAAATAAAAAAAGGCATGTTGCAAACAGTTTACAAGTTCAGGCAATGCATCTTCTGTAATATTAGTAAAATGTGCTCGATTCAGAGCAGAAAGGCTGCAGCACATGCCATCAGCATTGTGTAAACGTTACCAGCTCGACTTCAGACGCAGTTGAAATTCTCTCCTCTCTGAATAACTCTGCTCTTTCAGGGGAAAAGGCTTCACTGCAGATGTTTCCCATTGGCAGAAGGTGGAAAAAAAAAAAAAAAAAGCCACATTATGTCCTTAGTTAAGAAACTTTTCTGCTGTCATTGCTTGGTGTTCCTAGCCCTGTGCAAAGCTGCCCTCAGCCCTGCAGCAACTTTCTTCAGGCTGTTTTATCACACAGCAATTAGTTGTTTTGAGGATGGATCCGGGATCTGCCAGGGATACCCACTTGGGAAAAGTTGCAGCACAGAAACTCGGGATGTTTCCTGCTGGAATGAATTTAGCCCGGGTTGAGTTCTGATTTCTCAGCACGTGCACAAATAACTCTGCTGCCTTTTAGTTTAATTTGTGATGTTTAATTTAAGCAGATGATAGCGTGTGGGGGTGGAAAAAATTTATCTGAAGATCAAGCCGGTTTAGAAGACTGTAGAGAAAGATCCTAGTTTAGCTGTCTGGGAGTGTAATAGGAAAACTATTTAACATCTCTCTAATCAGCTCATAAAGCTGACATTGCAGGGCTTTCAAATTCATACTGAATCGGGCTGAAAAGAATTGCTTTAGGGTTCCTACTTGCCAGTTTCATTTCGTCTGTATTGAACCACCCACAGTGGTGGAATTTCCTTGGTCGGAAGCTAGAGAGCAGTTAGAAAACATAAAATGAAATATTAGGGTGAAGTACTAGCAAAGCATTAAGCATTACAGGGGGAAGCCACATCTTCATCTTCTAGCTCTAGGCAATCCTGCTTCAGCAGGGGAGTTGGACTAGATGATCTCTATGGTCCCTTCCAACTCTAAAATTCAGTGAAATTCAGTGAAAATTCAGTGAGTGCTGGAGGCTTGTTGCTGCAGGAAGGAATTTCCTTAGTTCTAAGGGCAGGATGATGTTGGAAATCACTCCCCCAAATGGGTTACGATATGAAGTTTGATACCTCAGCCAGGTGGTGATGGGGCTCAGGACAGCTCTGAGCCAGTCTGTTCTCCAGTCCCACCCAGCGTGGGGCAGGAGGGGACAGATGAGTCTTTAGAAAAAGCTTCAAGGAAGTTTTAGCAGCTTGGCAAAGCCACCGAGATGGAGGGGGGTGTTGGTGATGGAGTAGAGGACGATGCCTTTGTCTTCAGCAGGGTGAGTTAACAGGGAAGCCATGAATTTGCTGAAAGTGCTATCCTTTTACAAGTTATATGTGCCTAGTAATGTTTTGGGGTATTTTTCAACAGTTTGACTCCCAAGTTCATCGTCTTTACCTTACTCTACCACTGACTTCCCTTCTGTTCTCTCTGTTTCTTATTTTTATTTTAACCTTTTATTCTTCCTCCTCCTGAATTGCTTCACAATATTCTTGGTGCTGTTTAAAACCACAGCGATGCCCTTTCTTAGAGATGGCAGCTCCAGTGGATGGAAGGATTTAGTGGATCCACCAGTCAGTTGGTTTTGCAAAGCACTTTGTGAGATGCTCAGGGAGCACGTGTGTGTCTGTGTGTGTGTGTGTTTGTGAAGTTACACGTCGCTATGAATGTCTGCAAATACACACATTGAGCAGGAAAAGTCCCCCTGAGTGTGGTGTCATCTGTGGTACCTGTTTTAGGGTCTTTATTCATGAACTAATTGTGTTTCATGAAAAAAGAAGTTGAATCCTATAGCTCTTGTTGCCGCTGCTGGTTTTTACTAAGCACACATGGATTTCTTGGCCGTTGTAATCACATCTACTAGAATTTATACTCCTAGGTTCTAAAAAGTCACTTTTTCTGTTTAATTGTCTTGGAAGTGTATTTGGGAATAAGTTCTGTTTCCTATTAAGAGTGCAGCACAAGGTCTGTGGATCAGGCAGCTGGTGCTGGCCAGGAGCCCGAGCGTTGTCATGATTCACATCTCTATTCGTCTTCGTTCTCCGACACCAGGCAAAGGAAAGAGAGAAGGAAAATAAAGAACTTCCCCAAATGAAGCATATTTGAATTGCAGCTGGGCCGTGGAAAGAAGATGCTGCATGTGTCCATCTGACCCCCAGGCAAGCTATTTTTGCCTTTTAGGAATGTGTCACGGGGCTAAAACTGAAGGCAAATGTGAATTGCTGCAGCTGAAGAAGTAGAAGGGAGAAGAGGCCACACAGCCTGGGTTTGGGAGCTGTAAGAAGCGCTCAGTGGAGCCTGGAGTGACCACGGATCTGGGTGGTTTGTCCTGGAAAAGTTGCTGTGTCCAGGCAACTTGGGAAAGCAGCGTAATTCTAAACATTTGGATCTCATAGACCTCATCAGATAATGACACCAAGGGCTTTGGTTGGGCAACTTACAACAAAACAATCTGTGTTTGTGCTAGACTTGTAGCTGTCTTTTAAAAGACAACACAAGCAAAGTACCTTTTCTTCCTTACTCCCCTAATTAGTGTGTGTGTCCATCTGAGCTTCTCTCCTCCTGGCTAGCTTCCATAGCAAGTGATGGCAAATAATATACATCCCTGGGCTACAGACACCTCCTTTTGCTGTCTGTTCAAGGTGCTGTCTGTTGGAGTTCAGCCTCATCAGGAGCAAACCCTCCAAACTCTTCTCTGTTCCAGGTAGGAAGCTTTTTAGGAGAGGGGAGAAAAAAAAAGTGGGTATGTAAATAGGTACAGTTGAATGTGAAGCTGAGGCCAGAAGGTTCTTTAGTAGTTATTAAATAATGTTGTTTCTCTCTTGAGTGAGATCTTGTGGTTGGTAAAGTCGTGGCAAGTCTGTAGTTTTGGATTCTGTGAGTTTTGGAGGCTGTGGGAGGACACGCTGGGACTTTGCTCTCTGCTCCTGCAGCATCCCCACAGACTAGAAGCAGCAAATGCATTTTGTCACTTCCCTGATGTGAACAAGTGTTGAATTTGCTGCTGGTTGCCCTTGGCTGGTTTGCAATAATGTGATATTTGCTTTCTTAAAGTAGCTTTTGGCTCCTGGGTAGCAGGTTTTGGTTCTTGAGCACCAACAGCTCTCTAAAGTGACTTAGGAAAGCCCTGTGCTAATCTGAGAGCTCCAGGAGCCCGAGTGAAAGGGATGACAAATGGCTTTGGTTCTTTTCTCCTCAACTGTGAAGGGAAATGCAGAGGAAATGTGTTCTTTAGAGTGAGCACTAGTGGATAATATCACTGTCCTTCTGGACTTGAAGAGTCTCTGGCTTTGTAACGCATCAAAAAGCTATCCTGGAGTGATCTCTGCCATCCTGCTTGTTCTGGGCCGTGGTCCCAATCCTGTACAACATATTAATGAAAAAAAAAAAACCCCTCTAGTTTTTGGTTTAGTTGTCCCAGCGGCGTTTCGGCTTCCTTCAGTCATTCCACTTCCACCTTCAGCAGGTTCTTTGGATTGCCTTGGCCAGTGACACCGGGGTAGTGACACCAGAAGGGGCTTGGTGGCCCATCAGGTGCAGCATGATGCCATCTTGGCCCTGAGGAGCCCAAAAAGTCCCAGAACACTGTACATAAACAGCACCCTGGGCTGCATCCCCAGCCCCGTGGCCAGCAGGGCCAGGGGGGGGAATCCTGCCCCTCTGCTCCACTCTGGGGAGATCCCCCCAAGTGCTGCTTCCAGCTCTGAGGCCACCAACAGCAGAAGGACATGGAGCTGTTGGAGTGGGACCAGAGGAGGCCCCGGAGATGCTGGGAGGGCTGGAGCCCCTCTGCTGGGAGTGGGGGCTGAGAGAGTTGGGGGGGTTCAGCCTGGAGAAGAGAAGGCTCTGGGGAGACCTTAGAGCTCCTTCCAGTCCCTCAAGGGGCTCCAGGAGGGATGGGGAGGGACTCTTGATGAGGGAGGGGAGCCCCAGAACAAGGGGGAAGGGTTTGACCCTGAAAGAGGGGAGATGGAGCTGAGATTTTGGGAGGAAATTCTTCCCCCTGAAGGTGGTGAGAGCCTGGCCCAGGTTGCCCCGAGAAGCTGTGGCTGCCCTATCCCTGGAGGGGTTCAAGGGCAGGTTGGAGGGGGCTTGGAGCAACCTGGGCTGGTGGGAGGTGTCCCTGCCCAGGGCGGGGGGTGGCACTGGGTGGGCTTGAAGGTCCCTTCCAACCCAAACCATTCTGTGATTCTGTGGTTATAACCAATGGGGGTTTAGTGCCCGCAGCAGGGCTGAGTCTCTTGGAACATCAGGAGAACATTTCTGAGCTCTCACCCAAGTGAGCGGTCGCATTTCTAGTCACTTTAATGGGTCTGGAGAGGAGCCCAGTGTGTCTTGCCCTCGTGTTGGCTGGAGGACGGCTCCAGCCGTGGTGGGAAACCCTGCCCCATGGCCCTGAGGGTGCCCCAGGAATGTGCTTTGGGTGACGGGGCATGGAATTGGAAAGCCAAGGGCGTGCGATTCGGGCGGCACCGTCTCAAGTGGCTGACTCCCAAGTGTTGGGTGCTCCTGGCCCAGCCCCAGACGTGCCAGCAGTGGTCACGGCGCTAATTGCCTCTTCCTCCCCATGGATGCCAAGCCCAACGGAGCGTTGCTGGATCTCCAGGCACAAATGCAAC